TAATAGTTCACAGGATACTGTTGATAGTAGGAGCTCAGAGAAGTTAAGTAGCTAAGTAGCCCAAGGTCTTACAGTTACTGTAAGAGCTGGTCTTTGAACCCAAATCCAGCTACCTTTTTTTTTAGACAGGGTCTGGCTTTTGTCACCCAGGCTAGAGTGCAGTGGTGTGATCATGGCTCACTGCAGCCTCCACCTCCTGGGCTCAAGCAATCCTCCCACTTCAGCCTCCCAAGTAGCTGGGATTACAGGTGTGCAACATCACACCCAGCTAATTTTATTTATTTTTTTGGTAGAGATGGGGTTTTGCCATGTTGTCCAGGCTGGTCTCAAACTCCTGGGCTCCAATAATCCACCTACCTTGGCCTCCCAAAGTGCTGTAATCATAGATGTGAGTCACCACGCCCAGCCCCAGTGAACTCTTCACTACTTAAATTTTGTGTAGATCTTGAGCCACCTGTAGGTGTTTGAGTCCTGGGTATGACCAGTGATTAGGCTCCTCATATAAGGAGGGGGGTGGAAGAGCACCAGGCAGCATTTCCACACCAGTGTTCTTTGCTGTGGATTTGCATGAAAGGAGACAGATTTCCTGAGCTCTTGCATTGGCTTGAGGCTGCTATGCCAGAGGAGAAAGTGGGTGGGGAGAATAATAAAACCTTTAAGTCAAAGGAGATGGCTGAGCGTGGTGGTTCACAGCTGAAATCCCAGCGCTTTGGGAGGCTGAGGCAGGCAGATCACTTGAGGTCAGGAGTTCAAGACCAGCCTGACCAACATGGTGAAACCCCCTCTCTACTAAAAATAAAAAAATTAGCTGGACTTGGTGGTGGGCACCTATAATCCCAGCAACTCAGGAGGCTGAGACAGGAGAATCACTTGAACCCAGGAGGCGGAGGTGGCAGTGAGTCGAGATCATGCCACTGCACTCCAGCCTGGGTGACAGAGTGAGACTCCATCTCAAAAAAAAAAAAAAAAAGTTGAAGGAGACATTACGGGTGATCTTAACTAGCCCTAGGGCCACTGAGTAACTTGCCTGAAGTCCGTTCCTGTGTAGTGATAGAGCTGGAGTCTACAAAACATAGCCGGGTGTGGTGGTGTGCACCTGTAGTCCCAGCTACTCAGAAGGCTGAGGCAGGAGAATCAGTTGAGCCTGGAGGTCGAGGCTGCAGGGAGCCGTGATCATGCCACTCTGCTCTAGCCTGGGCAACAATTAGACTCTGAGTCAAAAAAAAAAAAAGTGGCAGGGGGCAGGGAGAGCTGGGGCCAAACCCAAGGCTCCTGGGTTTTCCACACCACTGTTGACTGACACCAGCAGGTCTCTCTGAAGGAACTCACTTTGGCACTCACATCTCACTGTCTCCCGAATCCTCCTTCGCTTCTTCCTTGCTAGAGGTCCACCTTCTTTCCGTCCTCCTACAGCAGAAAATGACAGTTCCCATAACCAAGATCATCCCAGGGAGTCTGTATTTGGAGGAGGGAGAAGGACCACAGGGAACTAGATATATAGATGGCCACAACTTGTGATGATCCAACTTAATGATTTTTTGACTTTACAGTGGTGCAGTTGACATACGCAGCCAGTAGAAATCATTTGGTTTTTCACTTTTAATAAAGTATTAAGTAGATGACATGAGAGATTCAACACTTTATTGTAAAACAGAATTTGTGTCAGAGGATTTTACCCAACTGTTGGCTAATGTAAGTGTTCCGAGCATGTTTAAGGTAAGCTAGGCTAAGCTGTGCTGTTGAGTAGGTTAAGTGTGTTAAATGCATTTTGACTTATGATATTTTCAATTTATGATGGGTTTACCAGACCACAACTCCATTGTAAGCCGAAACACTTCTGTACTGGGTTAAAAAGTGTTTGAGGAACAGCGGATTAAATAATGCTTCCAGTGTTCTGTTCTACCTGGGAAAGTGGAGGTCAAACGGCGAAGCAGAGTGGGGTCTTATTTATTCCAGGCCTCCTGCCTCGGTGCACAGAAGACCTGAGAGGAAAGCTGACTGACACCAGCAGGTCATGAGGATGCCACTTGTTTAGATTTCAAATGCATTCCATTCTGTGTCTCACTTAGGACCAGTTGGCAGCCCTGTGTCCTGAGCCTGGGCCGCCTCTGGTGAATTTTCCTGAATCCGAAGTGTCATTGGATTCTTTCTGGTACCGGGTGTAGGCAGCACTGCCTCTTTTAGAAACTATGTGGACACTTTGAACTGTGCTCTTGCAAGCCAGTGCCAGAAGAATGGCATTTGCAGGGCCTGGTAAACTTGGGAGAAACTTTCTGATGTTTTTATGAAAGGCATGTTTTGCTCTGAAGTCAGAGTGTGTGTTCTGGCCGAAGTAGCAAGCATAGATCTGTTTTCTCCACATGTACCGGGCTTCAGAGGAGACATTGACTAGATAGCCAGTGTCTGATTTTGCTTGTGGTGGGCATAGGATGGTGAAAATGGAGGCAGGAAGGAATACAGGGGACAAGATATTTAAATGGTCCACAACTTGGTTTTTTGACTATGATCGTGCAAATGGCATACTCAGCCAGGAGAAATCGTTCTGTTTTTTACTTTCAGTATAGAATTAAGTAGATGGTATGAGAAATCCCACTAGATAGCCAGTGTCTCCTTTTGCTTATGGTGGGCATGGGAGGGTGGAGGAGGGAGGAAGAAGCACACAGAACTCTGCATGCAATGTTGTAAGGCCCTCATTGTCAGGGTTTATAAATGCCATGTTTCCTTCTTTCTAAACTCCTTTACATCAGGTGTGAAGCTTTTAAGATTAAGAAACACCTAAAGATGTATGGTGGGGCTGGGTGCGGTGGCTCGTGTGTAATCCCAGCACTTTGGGAGGCCTAGGCAGGTTGATCACCAGGTCAGGAGATTGAGACCATCCTGGCCAACATGGTGAAACCCTATCTCTACTAAAATACAAAAAAACTAGCTGGGCGTGGTAGTACATGCCTGTAGTCCCAGCTACTCTGGAGGCTGAAGCAGGAAAATCACTTGAACCCGGAAGGTGGAGGTTGCAGTGAGCCAAGATCGCGCCATTGCACTCCAGCCTCAAAAAAAAAAAAAAGATATTATGGTAGAAACTTGCACTAAGCCGGGGGACTGGTTTCAGCCCTGTGCTTTCTCTTGTCCTCCCTGTCGCTTCAGGTGCCAGTCCTGTTTCTGCCCAGCCACTAGTCCTGTACACAGTAACTGGAGTGCTTTGTGTGTACCCTTGGCCAAGTAGACAGTGGAGTAAAGCAAGGCCCGGAGAATAGGAACCGACCATGTGACTTCAGTTTCCACTGGCAGCCGTCCGCCGGATGTGCACTGTGGGCAGGACCAGTCTTAGTTGCAGCAAATACTGTGGCTTAATTTCTTAGCTGAGCAGGGCTTTTTTCCTTCTGAACTCTGAGCTTCTTGGGGATCAGGACAATGTCTTATTCATCTTTGTATCCCTTGAACCCAAGACAATGCTTGGCACAAAGAGAGCTTCCAGCAGATGACTGTGTTATTGTTTAGGATGAAGACATGTTGAAGGCCACAGATAGCAGATGCTTTACGGGGTTCATAATCTGCATAGTGGCCCCAAGTACATTTTGGGCTGAGGTTAACGTTGGCCTGGTAGGTATTTGATATCTTTACGTGTGAAACTTTTTTTCTTTGAAGTTCCCCTCCATTCTCATCCACTAATGCCATGGACAGAATTTGGCAGACTGCTAAATGGCCAGTCAGCATTGCCCTTTATGTGAGTGTCCCCGACAAGGGACAGTATGAATACTGGATCCAGTCAGGATTCTGTTTTTTTTTTTTCCAGACAGGGTTTCACCATGTTGATCAGGCTGGTCTTGAACTCCCGACCTCAGGTGATCCGCCCACCTTGGCCTCCAAGGTGCTTGGATTACAGGCATGAGCTACCACACCCGGCCAGGATTCTTATTCAATAAGCAAAAACGGTCTAGCAGATTAAAGTTGGATGGGGTTATCTGACCAGTTTGCCCCTGTATTGAAAAGTGAAGATTTTCAGTTGTAGATTTTTTTATTGTTACCCTCTTTGGGATCACACTGTGAATTAACCTTGAAGAGCAAATGTTTTAACTTGCTCTCCATACTGAGCAGATGTGAATCCTAGAATACATACTGCATTAATTATTCCAGGAAGTTTCACAGAAAAGCCAGTTTTATTTAAAACAGTACTACTAATTACCAGAGAATCATCCTCCTCCTACCGGCTGAGGTTAGCACCAGAACTTGAAATGTTTCTACTCAGACATAAAGAAAGTAGCCGAGCGCGGTGGCTCTTGCCTGTAGTCCCAGCTACTCGGGAGGCTAAGGCAGGAGAATTGCTTGAACCCTGGAGGCGAAGGTTGCAGTGAGCTGAGGTTGTGCCATTGCACTCCAGCCTGGTACCTGGCAACAGAGCAAGACTCTGTCTCAAAAAAAAAAAAAAAGTGAGGCAGCCCTTTCCTGTCCTGTCCGAGGAAAACTTCACTCTGCCAGTTGCTTTTGTGTCCTGAATTTCCTCTCCTTTAATAAACCATATTTTTGGCCAGGCGCGGTGGCTCACGCCTGTAATTCCTGCACTTTGGGAGGCCAAGACAGGTGGATCCTGAGGTCAAGAAATCAAGACCATCCTGGCCAACATGGTGAAACCCCATCTTTACTAAAAATACAAAAATTAGTGGGACATGGTGGCGCGCACCTATAATCCCAGCTACTCAGGAGGCTGAGGCAGGAGAATCACTTGAACCCAGGAAGTGGAGGTTGTAGTGAACCAAGATTGCACACTGCAGCCTGGCCACTGAGCGAGACTCTGTCTCCAAAAAAAAAAAAAAACCAACTATATTTTTTCCCTAAACTCGGTTATTGTTGTGTAATTCTTTTAAAGTGTTTTTTTCTTAATGGAATAAACATTGATACAAATTGTTTTGGGGGCAGGTGAGTAGACAACCAGGAGGACAGTGATGAGAAGGAGAGCGTTCAAAAGCTGTCATTTAATATGCTCACATGCTTTTTCTCTTTTTTAGGATAAGGAAGCCTGTGTGGGTACCAACAATCAAAGCTACATCTGTGACACAGGACACTGCTGTGGACAGTCTCAGTGCTGCAACTACTACTATGAACTCTGGTGTAAGTCCTTGCCTGGGTGTCTCTTGGTATCCCAGGGTCCCAATTACTCCCTCTGCTCGTTGGGAAACCGTGGGAATCAGCTCTTTTCTGAGTCTCTTGAGGACAGTGTTGGTGAGTGGAATCTGTGGGTTCCAGAAGTGCTTCCTTTAGAGGAAGAGAGTTCTGGTGGTCTTTGGATGTTGTTAGCTGAAAACTGGAGAATATGGTCTCCACCACGTCTGCTGCAGAAGCTCCTGCCTGGGGTTCTGGACGCCCCCTTCCATCGTGCGCTGAGCAGCTGACCACAGCTTAGATCCTTCCTTGGGCCAGCCTAGGTGCCCCAGCTTGCCATTTTTGCAGAGAGGTTGCAAGCCAAGCTGCTGTGAATGCCAGGCCACTCTAGATGGCCACTATGCTATTTTCTTGTGAGGACCTCAGAGGCTTCCAGAATTTCCCATAGAACCTCATGGAGTGTCTCTGTTTCTGAGGGTGCATCTGAAAGGAATAGTCTGTGTCTAGGTTGCTGCCTATAGAGGACCTTCTGGAGAGAGGGAAGACTCAGCTCCTTTTATTTCTTCCCCAGTTCTCACACAGAAGCTCCTGGAGGATTCTTCAGTGTACCTAACCTTTCACTGTCAGCTAAATGTCATGTGGAGGCTGAGCGCAGTGGCTCAGGCTTATAATCCCAGCACCCTGGGAGGCCAAGGCGCTTATATCACTTGAGCCCAGGAGTTCGAGACAGCCTGGCCAACATGGTGAAACCCTCCCTCTCTACTAAAAATACAGATTAGCCAGGCATGGTGGTGCACCCCTGTAGTCTCAGCTACTTGGGAGGCTGAGGCAGGAGAATCACTTAAACCTGGGAGGTGGAGGTTGCAGTGAGCCGAGGTCGAACCACTGCACTCCAGCCTGGGCAACACAGTGAGACTCTTTCTGAGGAAAAAAAAAAAAAAAGTGCCCCGTGGAGACTGTGCTTGTCTTGCCACTGATTTGACTGAGGCCAAAATCACTTGCTGTTTCAAGTTGCACAACAGTGGTGATATTGTTAGGGTCTTCAGGGAGTGACTTAGGGTTGCTTGAACCGACACTCTGTACTCTGACCTTCCTGGAACTCAGATGAGACAGTGTAGGATGCTGGACAAAGAATGAGAGGGTGTGTGGGGGAGGAGGATCCTAGGACAGAGAGGCCCCAGGTGACTGACATTACATTGGTTCTTAAACTGTCACTTGAGAAAGGAGAGTACAGACAGTTTCCCCAGATGATTCTAAGCCCTCATCACTGTCACCATTTGGAAACAGACTTCAGGATTTTCAAACCATGCCCTTGCCCCCACCATCCTATCTGCCCATTTCCCCTTTCTCCTCCCCCGTCAACTCCGTGTGTCAGTGATACAGCTTTAAGGACTATTGTTTGGGCCAGAAAGGAAATTAGACTCTTGGCCAGGAGGTCGCTCCCTCTGAACTGTGGTTGTATTTGTAGCCAACAGGAGTGGCTCCTCCAAACAAGACCTCTCCCTCACCCTTGCCTTTCCCTTTTGAGGACTGAGGACAGGCTCATTTGCCTTTCTGAGGAATTCCAGGAGCAGTCCAGTGCAGGAGAGCCTGGGCTCAAGATGTCCCCACCAGACCTGCAGATGTGTAAGCTGCAGTGAAGGAGGGCACAGTCGTTGTTATTTTAGAAGGGGTGGGGCTGAGAAACTTACTAGAGGACACACAGTGCCAAACAGGTAGACAGACTCTGTTTAAATGTTTTAAAATGTAGATAGCCACAGGGTTCAAATTCTCCCTCCCACCCTTTGTTAAAACAGAAGTTGAAGCTGGGCTGCCAAAAAGCCACAGAGCTGCAGTTTGTTTTTCTGAGGCCTGGCCAAGTGGCATCAGTTGCAAAAAGGAACGAAGTTGCTGATGGCCCCATCACAGATTGACAGAGCCTCCTGGGCCTTTGGCAGAGTAGACTCAAGAGCCACTGGAATTGGGTCACCAAAGGCAGGGCCAGAGGGTGGAGTGGCGGGGACAGGTAGACCCAGAGGGCAAGGAGGTAGTCTGGGAAAGCAGGTGCCTTACCCCAAGGGCTTAAAGTCAGAAGAGCTGTGCAAACAGCTAAGTGTCTCTCCAGCTATGGGCATTTGGGAAAGGAGGAGGCTGGGCAGATAGCAGCGTCTACACAGAGAGAAAAGTGCCCCTGGCAGGGCGTGGTGGCTCATGCCTATAATCCTAGCAGTTTGGGAGGCCAACGTGGGCGGATCATGAGGTCAGGAGTTCGAGACTGACCAAAATGGTGAAACTCCATCTCTACTAAAAATAAAAAAATTAGGCCGGGCGCGGTGGCTCAAGCCTGTAATCCCAGCACTTTGGGAGGCCGAGGCGGGTGGATCACGAGAGATCGAGACCATCCTGGTCAACAAGGTGAAACCCCGTCTTTACTAAAAATACAAAAAATTAGCTGGGCATGGTGGCGCGTGCCTGTAATCCCAGCTACTCAGAAGGCTGAGGCAGGAGAATTGCCTGAACCCAGGAGGCGGAGGTTGCAGTGAGCCGAGATCGCGCCATTGCACTCCAGCCTGGGTAACGAGCGAAACTGTCTCAAAAAAAAAAAAAAAAAAAAAAATTAGCTGGGCGTGGTGGCGGGTGCCTGTAAATCACAGCTACCTGGGGGGCTGAGGCAGGAGAATTGCTTGAACCCAGGAGACAGAGGTTGTAGTGAGCCAAAGATCGCACCATTGCACTCCAGCCTGGGCGACAGAGTGAGACTCCAACTCAAAAAAGAAAAAAAGAAAAGAAAAGGTGCCCTGTTATATGAGCTGGCATGTGTTTTCCACATTCTGGAGGCATGGGAGGCATAAAAGCAAAACACCACTCTCAGGAAGTCCTCCGATCTCCCTCCTTATCGGGGTCATGGCCTCTGCCTGGTGTGTATGGGAGGGAGGTTGATGTCGGATCGAACACCTGAAGTTCCCATCAAAATGGCACGTTTTGTTGCTTTCAGTCCTGTTCCTCTAACTGCCTCTCAACTTTGTCTAAAGTGTGAAAGTCATGGGCTTTGGGCAGGTTTCCTTCCCACCTTCCTTCGGAAAGAAAAATCCTCAGCCAGGAAATCCTTTGGCAGTTTTCATAAGACACCTCCTTAACTATAGTTGCCTACAGGAAAGGCCTCAGGGAAAAAATACCATTTCTACCCACCCTTTACCTCCACTAAACTGAATTTTCCTGTGTGCTGAGGCAAATTCTCATCTCATACACATACGTACACACACACGCACACACACACACACACACACACACACACGGTTTACACAGGCACAGAAGCACACGTAGACCTGAGCTCTGGCTGGCAACATTTCCCACATGTCTTTTCAGTCATCCATAACCTAAACCAGTTACTGGGTCTGCACATGACGAGATCGGACTATCCTATTTTATAGGGGCAATCGTTGAGAGTTATTGTAAGGACCTGATTGTTGTTGTTATTATCTCCATGCATTTAATGGCACCTGTACTTTAATTCGTCATTCCATCAGTTACTCATTCAGTAAACCCTTATTCCAATGCTCTTGAACTTTGGCGGGCATCAGGATTTCTTGAAGGACTGCTGAAAAAAAACACTTCTGGGCCCTACTCCCAGATTTTTCTATTCAAGACTGAGACTCAAAAACCCGAGAATTTGCAATTCTAACAAGTTCCTAGTGGATGCTGTGGCCTCCTCTGGGCTGGAAACTCTGGAGAGGCAGAATTCTTACCTTCAGAAGGTAATCCAGTGGGGAGGAGATAAACTGTCTAGTGGAAACCCCAAAGCCACGTCTCCCACTTCTCATCCCAGGGCTCTTTCCACTCAAGCTGCATTTTCCAGGGAGAGATCAAAGTTGGGAATTTTTGCCCTTGAGATAATTTGGGAGAATTTCACCCAGGCATTAATTTCCCCTGGTTTGGGCTTTAGGCGGGAGAGGGGTGTGTTTCTGGACAGTGGAATTTCCATGAGGTGATACCAAACAGGCTATTAGCAAATCCCGGCAGTGCTTCCCAACTTGTTTCTCATCTTGCTTTCTCTCTCGCTTTTCTTTTTTCTTTCCTTCCTTCCTTCCTTTCTTTCTTTTCCTCCTCCTCTTTCTCTCTCTCCTTTCCCTCCTTCCCACCTCCCTCCCCACCCCTCCCTCTCTTCCTTCTTCTCACCTCCCTACTCCCTCCCCTCCTTTCCTCTCTTCCCTCCCTTCCCCTCCTTCCCCCCCATCTCCTACTTCTACCTCCCCTCCCCTGCCCGCTCCCCTGTCCCCCTTCTCTGCCCCTCCCCTCCCTCCCTCTCTCCCTTCCTTTCTCCCTCCCTCTCTCCCTTCCTTCCTTCCTCCCTCCCTCCCTCCCTCTTTTTTTTGTGTGTGAGACAAGGTTTCACTCTGTTCACCCAGGCTGGAGTGTAGTGGCATGATCTTTGCTCACTGCAGCCTTAATCTCCTGGACTCAAGGAAGGGATCCTCTGAGTAGCTGGGACTATGAGTGTGTGCCACCACACCCGGCTAATTTTTGTATTTTTTTTATAGAGATAAGATTTCACCATGTTGCCCAAGCTTTGATTTTTACCTGTGTTTTTTTTTTTTTTGAGACTGAGTTTGACTCTTGTTACCCAGGCTGGAGTGCAATGGCACTATCTCGGCTCACCGCAACCTCCGCCTCCTGGGTTCAGGCAATTCTCCCGCCTCAGCCTCCTGAGTAGCTGGGATTACGGGCACGCGCCACCATGCCCGGCTAATTTTTTGTATTTTTAGTAGAGGCGGGGTTTTACCATGTTGACCAGGATGGTCTCGATCTCTTGACCTCGTGATCCACCCGCCTCGGCCTCCCAAAGTGCTGGGATTACAGACTTGAGCCACTGCGCCCGGCCAATTGCCTATGTTGTTTTTTTTTTAGTTTGTCTTAAGATGCCCGTTATTAGCAAGAGCTCAGTAAATAGGAGTTGAGTGAATTTTGCCAAGAGCAGAACCTAAAAGCAGACTTTGGACTACTCATTCCTAACCCGTGTTTCTTTCTCTTTT